GATTAATAAAATCATTCTACTTTACTATAAAAAATGGAAAAAATCCTCCTGTTGAATTCAATTTAATTGGGACCCTAAGTTCTTAATATCACTTAGTTGAATTTTTTTTTCCAATTTCTGCCACCAACAAATCAATGCTTATTATATGGTTATAACTAAATATATATGCTTGATTGGTTCCTACTTACTAGTTTAAACTTATGATATTAATTGTGTAGGGAAAAAAAATGAACTAATTGTAATTAGTAATGTATGATACAACTTATCCACTGAAGTTTGTATTTGAATTCGAAATCAATGCGCGCTGTATTGGAAAAACTCCTTACAGATTTCTTACCTATTTCAAATTTTACAAATGTACTGTGCATCATGCGATCAGTGGATCGGCCAAATTACCTAATCCAAATTCTTAAATTCGGTCGCCAATTCAGTAGGGATTGAATGTGATAACCCTAATTCTTACTATGCTTTCCATTTTTTGACTCTAATCTAATTCAAATCTCAAATTAAAATTATCTATTAATACTACTTTCAAAGATCTTTTTCATTTTTGTGCAGGGACAAGTCCTGTTACTTTTTTTTTTTCATTTTCACGTTTTCGCCCATTCCCTTAACATGGAAAGACGAGCTGTGCATAAAGGGTTGAATCCATTAGTGAAGGTAAAAAGTTGCAAAGAAAAAAAAAAGTCAAACAGCAAAACCTGATTTAGGGATATCTGTAGCCCTTTTTCTAATATGGAGGCATGGAGCACGCCTGTAAGTGCTAATCTACTCAACGAATTTCAGTGGCATTGTATCACAATCCACGTAAGATACCGGCTTTTTTGCTAAGTCCAATCGTGTCCACCACGAAAACTTTACTAGAGATTATTGTGTCCAAAAGAGCTATGGTCTATTAAAGATGACCCGCCACCCCAGGTCGATTGATTTGACACATTCGGTTTGGTGAAGGCAACAGCATTGAACTAGTCGTGACGTCAATTATAACTGAGGTTTAAGTGTTCATGAGTCATGACCAGCGTATATATTAGGACTAGGAGGAGAACATCGCGCAATTTTTAAGGTTGTTCAGGAATGTCCAATGATTCAAATTCAAATATTAAGTATGAAAAGTTACAAAAAAATGCACCAAAACTTTGTTATTTTGTTTTTGTAGTTTTATTAAGCAGTGAATATGAATAATCTGTTAAGAAAATGCAAGGCAATACAATGAGTAGACTACTAAGAGCATTAAGATGCTCCTTGCTTTTGCATAGAATGAAAATAGAAATAAAAAAAGACACATGCAATGGAGGAGAAAGGAAAAAAATATAGGATGAAGAAATACACACAGTGAGTTTTTAGTTCCTAAAAAAGGCATTTAATAGCTATAAGTTTGTTTTTTGTTGATAAAAATCACAAATCAAAGTTGTCAATTCCTAGAAAAGGATATTTAACAGCAATAAGTTTCCTTTACAATATATTCAAACGAATAATAAAATGCATATACATGCAGTATAAAAAGAAAATCTACTTTGTGAGACCAAACCATATACCAGTGCCAATTGAACAAATTGACAAAGAAAAGAACAAAGTATTTCTAATTGGCCACAACCAAAATGATTCTAGACTTTCAATGACTAATAGCATCAGAGAGCTCCAGCTTCATTCAGACTCCCATCTCGTTCTCGTGAAAGGCTGAAAGCAAATACCTATTCAGCAGTGAACGACAGGTTTTGAAAAACTTCTCTATAGACAAAACTCCAAGTTAAAAGCTACAGACAAAGAGCAATGTCATAAACCAGATTACCAAACATTTGAACAAAAAAATCCTCAAGAAAATATCATAGGAATTTGAATTTCTATGGAACACTTAATTCTGATCAGAAATATCAAATTTTGGAAAAAAAAAAAGCAATTTATACCAACCTATAATAATAGTCCGAAAGTCAAAATAAGCAAATAAATGAGTAAAAGGACAAGACAGTATCTCAGGAGAAACCAAAAGCAATGAGATCTGACAAAATTTCTTTATGATATTAATGCAACTAACCCATGAGCATCTTCACACTTCTACTTTTAATGTTCTAAACAAAAGGAAAGGAATATCTCAAGAACCGAAAAAGCAACAAAGACAATCTTAACCAAAGCCAACAAGAATAATTAAACCCAACAGGATAATGCATCATCAGTGGAACAGTTAAATCAAATAAAACTTGGCTCTTCAGACATATTCAAAGTGGAATACATTTGAAATTATTCTACCTAAAACAATAATAGAAATCCAATTTTACTTTCAAGCTCTTACCATCTATAATGAGTCGATCAAAATCCAATTTTTCAATCATTCTAATAATTAATTCTACAATTTTGACAAAATAATAATAATAACTACTTCTACAACCATAAATGCAACTCACACAAATTTTTCTCCAAAAAAAAAAATCGCATAGGACTATGTAATTTTATTATTTTTTCTTAAAACGAGTATCTCCTTGATCAGTTCTAGTGCTTTTATCAGCAACTAAGAAAACACAACGTTTGTTGAAAAAAATAGCTAAGAAAACACAAAAGTATTTTTTTTCTTTTGTTTTAAAGAATCCATATACACTATCCGGAAAATGAGAACCAAAACTTCACAAGAGGAAAAAATAAGAAAAATAGTTTTCTCAAAAATAAAGACACGAAAAAAAATAACTAAAGTTTTTAACAGTCATTGACATGAAATTTGATCTCCACAAATGGAGACTTTGGGTTGGTTACCATATGGATCGTTTTTTGTGAGTCAATAATTGAACGTACCCCTACACATAACAAACCAAAAAAAAAAGAAAAAAAAACATCAGATGAGCCATGAAAGCTCCATTTTCCAGAGTTTCTCGACAACCTTTTCCTTCAATTTCTCTACCAAGTAATTTTTCCATATATAATAAATATCATACAAGTTTGTACAGGGGGCTCTAGAGACCCAAAAGAAAAAAACAAGTAACATAGAAACTACTTAAAAAAGAGTACAAAAGTTAAAAAAATGAAAAAATAAAATAGAGAAAACTTGAGATGAAGAAGGACGAAACCCAAGGATGCAAAATTGCCCGCAATGTTTCTCGGTGATGATCTTCTCTTGGCTGCATCTGTCTTGTGAGAAAGCATGGATAAAGAAATAAGGAACAATATAGGCAAAATTTATATATTAACCAGGTGAAAATTTTTAGGGAATAAAACCAATAAATATAGAAAGGAAATAAAGATTAAGAGACAACAAAGAACCAGATAGTTTGGAGATAGATTCTGTAAATTTCCTTGCTTCTGGAGCTAAAGAAGATCAAGCAGAGAGAGAAGATCTGAAACAACCCTATTATCTTACAAAGGGAAAAAAAACCACAACAAGCCACAATGTTAGACAACTAAACTGGAGAACAAAAAGGAAAAAAGGCTAGAGACGTTTAGGCAGGGGAGGAAAGAACAAACCCTTTAAGCAATGAGAATAATCTGCTTGGACTATTTATATGAAAAACCGTAGGCAAGACACATTGCAAAAGATTTTCCATATCTGAACCTGCAATATCACAACAAACATAAAGTTAGACAAGAAAACCCTTAAAAAAAATCTTTTAAAGACTACCGTATAACCACACCAAGCAATAAACAACCTAAAGAAACCAACTGCGTGTAGTTCTCTTTGTGAACTCCTCTATTTCTTTACCAGTCATAATACACACAAAAAAGCCAAAAAACAAAATAATCACCAAATGATACCTAATAGTCATAAAATTTTAAAAATGAAAAAGTAAAATTCACAGCCAAGAAATATCTACAAAATAACAAGAAGCTAACCTTAAAAGTCACTCGATTACCATGCAAATGCTTCATTTCTTTTCGTTTCCCCTCCAGAATGATTAGACGCAATTTTTTTGGGTTAATCTTGGTAGTCAAAGTGAAAGCATTGGGAGAGAGTTATTTGCAAAAGAAAAAAATTTGAAAGCAGAATCCACCAATAATATTTATTGATGAAGAAGAACTTACAAGAGAATCAAGCAGATCTGGAAGCTATCCGGAAAAGATTGCGAAAATGAGAAGAAGTGGGTGTTAAATTGGAACATTGTGATTCATCGGTTCCGGAGAGAGAGATGGTTACCTTGAGGAAACTTGTTTGCTCAGCATAATTATTTGTCAAAAGACGAGAGAGAAAAAGGTGGGAATAGATTGATGGTAGTGGTTACCTTGAGCCCCATAAATTGGAGTGGTATTGATCCCATCAGTCCTTTCACTATAAGCCAAAAAAATATTTAGAAGACACACACACACATGGAGAACCAAAGAATAAAACCAAAGTCCTCATTCTCGGACAACAAGAAGAATTGCACTTCTTCTCCCAGCGAAAGCACGCGAGTCGCACGTGATTGACGACCACCACCCAGCCAATAAAACCCAGCCACATCAGCACAACAATCACCATCCTTAACAGATCTATTTGTGCTTTTACTATATAGGTTGATAAGGTCTTTCTCATCCCCGTCTTCTTGACAACATGTTGATTTAGCTGAGGCATGCAACTATGAGAAGGTAAAATTAATATTTGGATAAATGAGCTTGAGAAAATTTATGTTCAGAAATGAAAACGGGTTTTCTAAGTATAATGAATTAATTTATAGGTAAATTATGTAGAACTCCCTCGTGGTTTCTCATAATACAGTATGACTCTTAAGGTTTTAAAATATCCATGTAACTCCCTATGATTTTATGTAATGTAAAAAATGAATGAAAGTACCAACAGTTATGGCGATTGAACTAAATGCGCTTCAAAAATACATGTGATGGAATCATAAAATTCACTTAACATTTCTATGATTTGTGATCGAAAATTTCCTGCAAGCGCACAGGTCGATCGTAGTAATAATTTACCTGGAGTATTCCAGGATCAAATCCATAGGGACGAATTAATTTACTACTTTAATTTTTTATTTTTTTGGTGAAACTTTTTTTTTTTTTATTAAAATCAAGAAAATCAAAATATACAGGCTTCAGTGAGAAATAGCTCGAGTACGAATCGCAGGAATCTGCGACCTATCTAAACCTAAGGCCCCCCTTGCCACCCTTGGCAACTCAGACTGTGTCGTATACAAAATAGTACCCTCAGAATGTGCCCCAACCTTGGCTAAGGCATCCGCCACTTGATTCATTTCCCGATAACAATGCCCCACCGTCCACTCCAACCCTTGGACAGCCCGTAACGATTCTAGATCCGACCGAACTGACCACGGACACCTGACTTGTCTTACCAGGAGGTTGACTAACACAAGAGAATCCACCTCCACCCGAATCCGCGAGAAACCCCGAAGACGGCATTGTTGCACCCCAAACACCAAAGCCTTTATCTCCGCTTGCAGACATGTAAGTTCCCCAAACGGAACAGAAAAGCCAAACAACAAAGCACCAGACGAGTCCCTAAGCACACCACCCCCGCCACTAACGCCCGGATTGCCAAGCGAGCACCCATCCGTATTTAACTTGAAGGCTCCCTGGACTGGAAATTCCCAACAAACCACTCTATGGGAATACCGAGGCCTCCACCCAGAGAAGATGGAGAGGACCGTCGACCAGGAGCCAACCCCAATAAACTCACCTGCAAACTTCTTGGAAAATAGCCCTACGACATCTGCCAAGATACGGTCACAAATGGTCTGTCGACGCAGGAGCTGCCCTTCAAAAATTGCAAGATTCCGTGCCAACCAAATATGCCAACAAATAATGCAAGGCAAAACCGAATGTAATGATTCCAAACGAGAGTGCCGAACCGGTTGGCACCACCAAGTTGCCAAACGCGACCGCACCCCCATACCTCTATAACTCACTCCAGCGCTATTCCCAAAAAAGGTCCACAGGAAAAGAGCTAACTCACCTTCCGCAAAGACATGATCCAACGACTCAGATTGCGAGGCCAAGCAGCAAAAACACTTGGAAGGGCCATAGACTTGCAACCTTCCTAGGGACGATGCCAACGGTAAACGATCCCGCAGCAATCTTACCATGAAGAATGATATCTTGATTGGAATTACAGGGTGCCAAACCCTTTCAAACATGAAAGATGAGGGGGTCTGACTACCAAGCAGCACGTATGTGGAAGCAATGGAGAAATCTCCTGACTCTGTCAAGGCCCACACCGCACGATCGTCCGCGGATCCCACTGGGGCAACTTTAGTAACTATCTCTGATACTATGTCATCAGGAACCCAAAGCCGTAGCAACTGTTGATTCCACCTTCCATTCAATACGAAATCCCTAACTAAGTGATCAGAAACACTTTGTAACCGTTGACACAGAGGACCAGAACCCATCCAATTGTCGAACCAGAAATTACACTGTCCCGATCGCATCTCCCACCAAAGATTTTGCTCCGTCACCTCACGAATTTGAAGCAAACGCCTCCACATATATGAACTGCCCTGACCCGCCGCTACCATGCATGGATGACTCTGCCGACAATACTTGGCTCTCATAAATGTCGCCCATAAACACTCTCTCGTACGGAAACGCCACCACAATTTGAATGAGAATGCTGTATGAACCTCCAGAAGCGATCGAACACCAACCCCACCCTGTGACGAGTCGGCACACAGGTCTGCCCACTTAATCCAATGATGTCGGAGGCCACCTTCCCGCTCCCCCCAGAGAAAATTTGCCATAGTCCGTTCAACTAAAGCTAGAACTCCCTTCGGAGGGCATGAAGCTGCCAAAAAATGAGTTGGGATTGCTGAAAGCACGTGTTTGATGAGTACAATCCGACCCCCATTGGATAGAAATCTGGACCGCCATGAAGAAACTTTAGAAATAACTGACTGTACCAGCTCCATGAAGTATAGACACTTCCGGCGCCCCACAAAAAGCGGACACCCCAAGTAACGCACGGGAAACGACTTCAAACCAAATCCAATTACCCGTCGAATCCTTGCCACACACTGACTAGGCAGTTTAGCATGCACCATGAACCCGCTCTTTTGAACATTAATCTCCTGCCCCGAAACTGCTTCATATTTTCCAATAATCTGCATAACACATCTCAGCGAAGTGGATGAAGCACCTGAAAAAATCAGGACGTCATCTGCATAACTGAGATGAGTGATCATAGGACAGCCCCGCGGAACTGAAAAGCACTTGAACTGCCGATGCTCCACTAACTGGTTCAAAGAGCGGGACAGCACCTCAGCGCCAATAATAAACAAATCTGGGGATAACGGGTCCCCTTGACGAAGCCCTCGCGTAGACTTAAAGAAACCCACACTGGCCCTGTTGATTAGGATCGAAAACCAAACATTCGAGACCAATCTCCAAATCATATCAATCCATTGCTCCCTAAAATCAAATCTCCTCAAAATCATTGTCAAAAAAATCCAGGAAACACGGTCATAAGCCATTGACATATCTAATTTCAGAGCTACATCGGCATTTCTGGAGGTCCTCCCTATATTAGAGAGCAACTCTTGTGCCAGCAAGAAATTATCCGATATAAGCCGCCCCCGAACAAAACCACTCTGCTGTGGGGAAATAATCCTTGGAAGGATTCGGGCCAAGCGATCCGCCAAAATTCGCGAAATCAACTTGTTAACAAAGTTACATGAGCTAATCGGGCGAAACTGAGAAAAATCCTGTGGGTGCCCAACCTTAGGAATGAGTGTAATGGAGGTCGCTGTAATAGCCCGAGGCAACTCCGTCCCACAGAAAAAACTACGCACTGCGCTAACAACATCCGCACCGACAACTGACCAAGCAACCGTAAAGAACTTACCCGTATATCCATCCGGCCCCGGTGCACTCTCCCCATCCATCGCAAAAACCGCATTTCGAATCTCCACCGCAGAGGGAAACTGCTCCAACAAATCATTCTCCTCATCAGTCAAAATTGTTGGGATATGTTGAAGCAACTCAGAGGAAGATGCTGGACGCTGATCCGTAAACAACCCCTCGAAATACAGAATCGCCTCTGCTCCAATCCCATCATCCGACTCCACCCACTCCCCTTGCCCATTTCTAATCCTGTGAATGATCGAACGTACCCTTCTATTTTTGACGACAGAATGAAAGAACCTTGTATTTCGATCTCCCTCCTGAAGCCACCTTACCCGAGCCTTCTGCTTCCAAAACAACTCCTCCACTCTCAAGGCCGCTCGCAACTGGCCTTTGGCAAGATGTAAATGCACCCTAGCAGCATCTGAATCATCGCTTTCTACACGGACCTCTGCCAACCGCACCTCCTCTTCCTTTTGCCTAACTGTCTGAAAAATATCCCCAAAAACCCTCCTACTCCAATCCCGTATAGTACCCCTCAACCGCTTTAATTTGCAACAGAGAACTTGCAAAGGGGGTCCAACGCACGGTTGCTCCCAAGAATCCTGAACCATAGGCAAGAAGTCCCCGTGCCTCGTCCAGACATTAAGGAACCTGAACGACCTCGGCTTAGTATCCAATCTGGTTGACACTGAAAGAAGGAGCGGAGCATGGTCTGAGGACTCCCGGGCTAGGTGCGACACCGCCAATGACATCCCCGTGTCAGAATAACCTTCATTCACCAAAACCCGATCCAACCTTTTCCAGATTCTTGCCCTGCCATGTCTATTGTTACACCAGGTAAACTGAGCCCCAGAAAAACCGGCATCCATGAGATTAGCCTCATTAATAAATTGTCTAAACTCCATAGCTTCACCAGGATTAAAAGCCCGACCCCCTTTCTTCTCCTCAGCATCTAAAATTACATTAAAATCCCCACCCACAAGCCATGCAGCGGAACCCGGGTTATCCCGCATTAAACCCTCCCATAGCTCACACCTCTCCACAGGTGTACATCGCGCATGCACAAAGGAGACAACAAGGTGGGAGCCCGGCACATGATCGTGAGAAAGTCGCACTGACACATGCTGGGGGCTCTCTCCAATCACCAAGCCAGAAAAAAGCTCTTGGAAGAAAACCCAGATCGAACCCACCACATTATGCACCACTCCATGAAAACCTAATTTGTGTCTATACTGTTCAACTTTATCAACCTCCAACCAAGGTTCACAAAAAGCCAAAAATTGGAGATTGTTCATTTGAATCAATTTTTTAATCCTTCTCAATTTCGGAGCTTTAGAAATGCCCCGAACATTCCAAAATAGACCTTTAATCATTGGACAAAGTAGGAAGGAAATTCTGCGAATTTATCAATTTAGAACGTAATTGCCTGTCAGAGGGAAAATGTGCACGATTACCTTTTTTTTTTGTTCCTCAAAGCCGCCACCGAATTGTCAACAACTCCAGCTGTTGACACTATGGTTGCATCCTGGATTCGCACCAGCTCCCTAGCAGATCGTGGGGATAAGGAACCCACTGAAAGGACCTCCTCATCACTGCTGGACTCCACCGTCTGATCTCCCACAAGGGCAACAGATCGCGCCTCAACATCATCTGGTTTGCTCCCCTCCACACCATCCCCTCGCACCTCAGCAGCATGCGGGAGGATAATCTCCAAACTACCACCCAGTTCTACATCACCCTGCTGCTCCTGCTGCATCCCCACGTCCTGCACTCCTCCGCAACCGACATCTTGATGCGCATCATCCACAACTGTGGGCGCCTGCCCCATATCCTGCTCCATCCCTTCATCCTCCAAAACCTTCACAGGGTCAGAAGTAGTATCAACCTCCACTTCGACCTCCCCAATCTGCTGCCCAGCCGCTGCTTCCACCGGCACCTCCAATACCGCAGCCTCTCTGGAAGACAAAACACAGGAAGTTGCCACCCCATGTCCCTGGAGCAGCAGCTGCTTCTGGACTGGAGCCGACAGCCCAGCTACCTCTGCCCCAACACTACCTGACGACGCTGCAGGTATACCAGGCTCACCCTGCTTAGCTTTACCCTTATCCAAACTCATGACAGGCGCAGAAACCTCTTGAAGTTTCAAGGAAGCCTGCCCCACCTTCACAGGCCGCAGGGAAGGATCCCTCCGAAAACAACTGTCCTGCTGATGACCGAACTTGGAACAGAAAGAGCAGTAAGGAGGAATGTTTTCAAAGTCCACGGGCTGCCAAAATCCATATTCCTCATCTCTTATCCAAACGCGTTTAGCAAGAGGCAAAGAGATATCTACCTCTACCAACACTCGCGCAGCAGAGGGCCGACGAAGATCACCGGTTGCCGCATCCAACTTGAGGGGGTGCCCCAACGTAGAGGCTAACTGCATCAACTGATTCCTTTGGAAAAAGGGAATAGGCAGACCTGGGAAACTTACCCAAACTGGAGCAATTGAAAGCTCTTGGCCAGACCTGAAGTCGATGCTCCACTTCGAAATCGACATTGGTGACTTACCTATGAACCAGACCCTGCGAACAAACAAGCGAGTATAATCATCGTCCACCACTGGTCTAATCAGAACGTGCTTCTCGTCCAGGAGGCCCACTGAGCAATGTCCTTTGAGCCCCAGCGTCACAAAGAATTTTCGTATGGCCTCCATGGAGGGCCTGCCCGCACTGAATCTCCCTACCAGAGCCTGGTGGAAAGGAGCAGCCAAACTCTCAATCTCCTAGCGAGAGATACGAAGAGAAGGCTCACCTCTGAATGTTGAGACAACACCCAGCGTTACCCCAATCTCATCATTGGAACGGCCAACTACTGCCGCAAAGGAAGGGGCCACAAGCTTCTGGCCGCCACGCTCCGGCGGCTTCGCTGCCGCAGCCGTCATCAGGATCAAAACAAAACCTAACCGCAAGGGTTTCCTAGTATGTCGGAGATAAACCTATTTTTATTGTTACTATAGTTTCATATATCTTCATGATGAGTCAATCAATTTACTACTTTAATTATTCTAACAAAATAACAAAATTCAAATTCAAGAGTTTTATTTTCTAACTAAGCAATAAAGGAATAATCAATTCAAATAGAGTAGTAGTGAGAAAACAATAAACACGAGTCTAGGGTTTCAGGTCTTAATCCAGAATTTGAGTCAATTATCTAGTTAATTTCTTACCAAACCATGAACGCATGCATCACACACTTGTATTTTAGATTATCTCTTGATATATCTAAAGTGTGCCTAATTAATTCCTATTTCTCTCTCGAGATCGCAAGTATTCAATTAAACCCTTTAAAAACTTTGTTGATATAAGTGCGTCATACAAATCCTAACATACTCTCGTGATTAGACTAAATATGTTTGTCTATCTAATGCAAGATTGTATATTCCTTTTTAGTTCAGTACAAACCCTAAAAACATGTCTATGGTGGTCAATCACAAACATGTAATTAAAATCAAGATAGATAAATTATAATAAAATGCAAGAAATTAAACTAGGAAAATTAATCAAATTCCTTCATAAAAACCCTAACCCTAGCAACAACTTAGTTTAACATGACTAAGAAATTAAAATCACAAATTCATAGAATTGCTATGAAGATAAGAGAAAGAGTAAGAAAACTTCTCAATGGCTTGCTCCAATCTTCTCCTTGAGCGCTCCTTGATTCGCCTCCATTTGATCTTGATTTCTTAAGAATAAACTATGAAAAGATATTAAAACTAGCCTAGACTAATGTTTTTCACCCAAAAAAGACCTAAAGAACTTCTATTTATGGTTTCTTGAAGATATATCCTAAACAGGATAGAGATAAGCTCTATTGGACTCGAAAAATTGCATTTTCGCACAATTATCCAATGAAGACCGGCCCAATGTCCGGTGCATGTTATTAGGCTGAGCTTAAAATACCAAAGAATCTCGAGATGTCTGGCACGAAGTCATTTGCAATGTCCGGCACCGATCTTAGATCCGTCAGCGGATCGGTATAGATTCGTGTGCAGATCCTTTTTGAAGCCCAAAAACACCATCAATGAGGCAGAATCAGTTCTTTCTCAAAACACAAAAGGTGTAGCCCTTTGAATAAGTTTTCCAATGCCATAAGAATCAAGTCATTTGAAAGTCTAGAAGCTGAGATATGTCTAAAATACTAAGACCTAGTTGTAAGAGCATTGCAGCGCAACTATACTTTAGTAATTAGGATTTTTGACTATGAAAAATTGAGAACTGGACTTTGATATCTTCACAAAAGTTGTAGAGTATTCTCTTAGCTTCAAATTTAATCAAGAATCATCTCAATCCAATTAGTGTGACTTACGTTATTGCCAAAATACTAAAACATGTCAATCCTGCCAAACCCGTTCCTCTTGACTTTTTCTTTTTCATTGTTTCTTCACGCCACATTTTTAGTCCTTTTTCTCTCTAATTGAGCTTTTCACCAATTAGAACAATATAAGAGCAAAATTAAGTAGTAATACTCAAGATAAAACTCAAATAACATAGTTATCTAGTAACTTTTACCTATAAATGAACTACAATTTACACCCTATCAATTTTGCCTCAATATTCGCTTTACTCATCATAGTTTTTGCATTTATGCAGATAATTCTGTTATGCTTTTGTACAAAGAAAAAAAGCAATGACTATTGTTCTATTTAGTGTTTAAGTAAGGGCAATATTTCAACTTTATGACTCTACGGAGTTTATTTTTGTCAAATTTTCACTTTACATGACACTATAAGGGGGTAATGTGGATATTTTGAAATATTAGATAGGTCATATAGCAATATGTGAATCCATAGTGGTCATAGATAATTTACCCTTAATTTTTTGATGCTATCTTGATAACACAATCTGAATTTGATTTGACTGCTATAAACACAAGCACTACAATGAACTTTGAACGCCACAATCAAATTTAACAAATCATTTAAGTCCTCGTAACTTGCTTTAACAGATAAAAGCACATAAATTGTAAATATATATATATATATATATGGCAGGTTCGTGATAATTCTTGTCTTTTCATTTTCTAACAAGTTTCTATGTTTTGCCTTTTTAATTAGCTGAAGTACGTCCATATTTTGCATTTGTTTCATCATAAAAAAGACAGTAAGAAATATCTCAAATTTCTCTTGACCTATGTAGAATTTCATTTTATGCACATATATAGTACAAAGGCTAAGGGGCCGCTTGGCTTGCTATTTTTTAAATTTTTGTATGAAAAAAATATGTTATAACGATTTAATATATATGAGATAGAAAAGTGATTAAAAATATATTTATGAAAAATGTAAAAATTTTTCCTTAGAAAATTGAAATATTCTAAAGTTTTTACCACCAAATAATGTACAAGTTTCTATGTCCGTACACAAGTGTTCAGAGATGTACATGCAGCCTGTAATCAGGAGATAAAACGTGTGGAGGAATACAACTACAAATACGAGGATTAATGCCATATCCAAGTGCCAATAAATAATCATAAAAGTACAAGTTCCAGTACAAGTACATATGACGTATATTTCTTGATTTCATTAATCGCTAAAGACCGAACATTAATATTCATTCAAATAAAATAATGAAAAGGTATAAGGTATCATATCACTATTTTCCATCATACCGCAGACCCTTGTACGTGGCTTACACAGTTTCTGTTTTTTGGTATACATGGAGCTAGAAAAAAAGTGCTCATGCAATTGGCGTTTGAAAATGTATCCATCCAAGCAAGAAAAATAATTCCTGAATGGGTCTATAAATTGGTGTGTCCTCTTCCATTTCCCTTCACCGGCATCACTACACCTGGAGAGAGCAACTAACTAAGAAGGCAACATGATGGCATTGCAATACATCCTAGCAGCCATGGAAAAACATAAGCCTTGTATTGTCATGGTGATTATACAATTCATCTACACAGGCATGTCCCTCTTCTCTAAAGCAGCAATAGCTGAAGGCATGAAACCTTCAATATTTGTTGCCTATAGACAAGCATTAGCCACACTTGCCTTGGCTCCCTTCGCAATTTTCTTTGAAAGGTAGGACTGGAAATTTTTTAATTCAAATTTATATTTTCCTCGATCGACCAAAGTTGATGGATTAACTCAAATTTTTCCTTTTTCCTTTCTTTATTTTGTGCAGCCAAAAGTCTCATCCACTATCACTCAATGTACTCTGCAAGATGTTTCTTGTGTCATTATGTGGGTATGTAATTGTTTCATTTTCTTGATGCAATTTTTTTTTTCACTTATGTAAATAAAAACGAATAATTTGACTCCTAACATAATTTTTTTTTCCCTTCTCCATGGGACAAATACCTGCAGGGTAACGTTATCTTTAAATCTTTACTATGCCGGAATGAATTACACCTCAGCAACTTTTGCTACGGCCATGACCAATAATCTACCAATCATCGTCTTCATCATGGCTGTCTGTTTAAGGTATCATCCCAGGTTTAATTACCAAAATTAATATTACTATAATAAAGAAAAAAAAACATTAAAATCATAGTTTTGGTAATGGTAAACAGGATTGAAAGCCTAAGTATAACTCAATGGCATGGGATGGCCAAAGTGTTAGGCGCAGTTACTTGTCTTTCAGGGGCTATGGTAATCACTTTCTACAAAGGTCCTGCTTTGTATTCAGAATATGGCAAAGAAGCCTCACACAATTCTTCAAGAACCTATACTAAAGAAGAATGGATAAAAGGTTCTCTTCTCATGCTTGGAGCAAACTTAACATGGGCTATCTGGCTTATTATGCAGGTTCTTAGCCTTTACTTTTTCTTCCTAATTAAATTTTTTTTTTTAATTTTTCCATTGAACATGGACTAATATACCATCTCTAAACTTCTTTTTCAAAAAACTATATCCAAAAAAAAAAAAAAAATTCCAGGCTCCAATTCTCAAGCAGTATCCAGCAAAACTTCGGCTAACAACATTGCAGTGCTGTTTCAGCTGCGTGATTTCGACAGTTTATAGCGCAGCTGTGGAGCGGAACATATCCTCCTGGAAACTTGGATGGGATGTTAATCTTTTCTCCGTAGCTTATTGTGTATGCTGTTTGTTTATTTCTTTACTTATCTGCTCATTTTTTGTTCTTTTATTTCTTATATATTCATTTTATCTTGAGAAAAACTTGATTGGGATGGGATATTGATCGTATCCTTGCATTGTGATGGTAATATCACTTATGGGTGGCAAGTTGTGTCATAGTTGCTCTTTGAGAAGCCTAATTCCACTAGTTTCAAATCTAAACTGAACTAAACTATAACCACTTAAACATCAAAGTCTAATGATCTTTCTTTTAGTACATACCAGAAAACACATCAGAATGATTAAAGCACTCTTTTTAAACAGCTTGTTTTGCACTAACTAATTAGTCTAGATTGATGGGCCTGCAATTGGAAAGCTAGTTTATGAAACATAATCTTTTTTTTGTTTTTTTTTTTGTCAAAAAGTTTATGAAACATAATCAAGTCCCTTAATTTTCTTTATTTGTTATTCCTTCAAGCTTTACTTAAGTACCATTTCATTTCAAAATTAAGAATAAGAAACTAAAAATAAGCGTTAATATCTCCTACACCCTTAAATGAAATAATTTTATCGCCTTGAATGCATACTACATGCAGTTCCAAAATTGAACGGTGATAATTTGTCATGCATTCAAACTTGTTAGTGTAAAAAGTTTTTTAGACAAACAAATGAAGCTTTCTCAAGCCTAGTGTTACGTTTCCCTGTTTCTCTTCCCTCTCTTTCTATAGAAGGGCATAGATGCTGGCCGAGATGTCCTAAAATTAGCTAGCCATAGGGCCAGGACAAGGACAGTTCAAGCCATTCTTTGTCATCCCAATGTGTGGCCGTTGCTCTTGTATACTGATGGCTGAATCCCAATGGGACGTGGACAAGATTAAAATTTGAAATTCCTAAAAATAGAGGAAAAAAAAAAAGGAAAAGAAAAGTTGTTAGAGGCCTTACACATTTCATTTCCAGTTCTGTTCTTTGTGATATGAGCCTATTTCTTCTACACCAACCAAAATCATACAAACAACACATGGAGATGTAATTTGATTCTGTAAGACAGCAACCACAAAAATTAAGCTTATATTCGCATTCTTATTATCTCTTTTTTTTTTCTTTGTGTTGTCACCTTATTTCAATCAGATATGTGTAAAAATTCGACACCACCACCTAATTATTGGGTGGAGATGAATGTTTTCAGTCTATTGCACGTAAATCAGTAGATAAAATGTTGGCTTTAAACTGATCACTGACTTCAATTGCAGGGTATTGTAGTCACCGGGCTGTCATACTGGTTACAAGTATGGGTAGTGGAGAAAAGAGGGCCTGTATTTACATCCATTTTCAGCCCGATAGCACTCCTTTTAACAGCAATCTTTTCAGCAATGATTTTTAAGGAGACGCTTCATTGCGGCAGGTTTTGTACTTTTACCATATCTATGCAACAAATATAAAAGTGCAAATAAAACATCGAAAATTTAATCTCTTGTTGCTGCCTGTCACAATTATCAAAATGCAGTCACGTCTTGACAACCAAATTTTCACATGTACGTGTATGTTTATATTTACATGTAAACAAACTGTACCTTTTCTTTTCCAAGTAGAATACTTAAAGCATCTTTTTTACTTAATTAACCTATTCCTTGTACCCTAAAATCTGAATGACTATGGTGACTGGTTATCCTGATTGATTAGTGGGATTCTGATTTCTGTTTTTTATTATTTGTGGAGCAGTGTTCTGGGGGCTGTTCTTTTAGTGGCTGGCCTGTACAGCTTTTTGTGGGGCAAGAATAAAGAGACTGAAATCCATGGAAGTGAAGAAAAATCGAATCAGACTAAAGAAGAGGTTGCATTGGAGTGCATCACTTGTACACCAACCTGTAATGAGGATGGAGAAGAAAAAAGATGAAATATATATATATGTGTGTGATACTTAAAATCAAACAGGAACTCTGAGCCTTAGGCAATTCTCCACATTCATGGATTCTCCACTAGAAATGCAGACAGATGCATTTCAAGAAAAGGGAAGAGACCTAACTGTTTTGTGACCTCTTTTTTGTCAATCAGTGAATGAATTCTGCCCAAAAAAGAAAAGGAATGAATATTTAATTTTTGTACTATTGGTAACTTGATATAGTATTCTTAAATTAATTAGTCCCTGATGAAAATAAGGACTCCTTGTATTATTCAGGCACTAGATCAAAGGACCAGTAGTCATCATATATTGCAAATTTGTAGTTTACTCTCATCCAATATCCAAGAAAAGAAGAAGAAAAAACAAAAACCAGTAAAGAGCATTATGACTCTCCAGTCACAACTCCACATCACAATATTTTATCTCTACTTTACTTTAATATCTTAAGTCATCTTTTTATAGTCTAGCCTTCGAGTTTATCTCCAGTCATTATTTATTATCTCTTTTAGCTTTAAGTGATTTATTAATATAAACTTTCTATTTTTTCTCTTTCTCCTTCCTTTTGATAAAAGAGTGTATTATTAAAGCCAGTTTTCGATGATAGGAACTAATTAAGTAAGCTAAAAGCTATTCCACCACCAATTGCTCTATCGTAATCAGTTGAATGCTGTCGCATGTCCCATGACTTGAGACTGGCTTTGATTTGAAGCTTGGAGCATAGGTTTCTGTGCATGTTAGTATTTCCCAAAAAGATAATAAATACATAAAGTTTTCTTTCTAAATATTAAATAGAAAGTTATAGAGTACTGCGTAACGCATTCATAGCTTTCCCTGCAAAAGTTTGGCATTTGCCACTGATTGCTCGTGAGTACTAGAACAAAATTTCTCTCTTAAATGATTCTCCACTTGCACCAATTGCCCAAGTGTATAATTTTTATATTTTTCGAATTAGTACATCAATCCACCAACCTTGAATGTATTGTTAGGTTGGATAAGTAATTAGTATGTGTGATCAGCAAAAAGGGTTAATTGCAATTTGTCCCCTGAATGATTTGAGAATAGTACCGAACCTCCTAAACTATCAGAAGTATATAGTATCTCGAATTTCTCTTTTTTTTTTAGTGAAGTATTTAAAATACCTTAGGGCTAATATAATTTGGCTGGCATTTCATAAGTTAAAAGGCAATTAGGAGGTTGAGTGCTTAACGCGAATAATCAAGAGGAAGTGGAGAAATTGCAATTGACCTTATGAAAGAAATATATAGGTCTCTTGCTTTAGAAATAATGTTCATCACATTTTGGTGGAGTATAAAATATAGATCAATAGTTTCACCTAAGAAAGATGTAAGGCCCTACTAAATAGCGTTAAAGATATCAGAATTCAGAACCCCGGGAAAAAAAGAAGAGCGAAACTTGCAAATTTTGTTTGCGATTGAATACTTTCAACATTTGGGAATAACAAACAAATACATCTGTGTGTTCTATATTGATGCGTCCAAAATGACATTCGGGGTGTGGCTAACGGGTGCTAAGACACTCACTAAGAGGGGTTTCAAGTCTTAATTTTGGTGACAGGAGTGAAATAAATTTAGAAAAGTGTTTAAAAAAGGAGATTAATCTTGCAAAGTCACTGAAATTGTGTTCTAATTTTAATGTAGTCCATTGTCTTTGCAAACAACATTTCAGTTTTGACCTTTTTGGTCGTAGGGATCTAGTCTTCTGGTGAAGCATAATCTATCTAGAATTAGAAATTGGCAACTAAAGCAAGTGTTGAGGAGATTAGAAAGTGAAAAAGCACTTGGTTCTGTTTTTCCTTCCCCAAATCAGTTTTTTGGAGTAATTCAATTTGGAAGGGTTGTAATCGAAACTCGCGAGTAACTCCAACTCGGTCAAAAATTTGACTCAAACTCGGGTTAACCGAGGCACTCGATAAGCCAAAAACTTGACTCGAACCCGAGTTTGAGTGCATCGATAAGCCAAACAAGTCGAGTTCGAGTATCGAGAAGCAATGCTTGAAAGTTCGTCAAGCCTTATCGAGCTTTTTAATTTTAATTATTTTATATATTATTATTATTATAAAATTACCCTTATACCCAAAACAGTTGTTAAATTTACGAAACGTTTCAAGTTGTATGAAAATTTTTAAAGGTCAATAATGTCTTTTTACTCAAAAATTATCAAGAAAAAAAAATTTTATATAACTCGAACTCGATTGAGCTCGATAAGGCTCACATTGACTCAAACCCATGCGAGTCGAGTTCGAGTTCTGTGAGTAAGCATCAAGCTTGAGTTCGAGTTCTCTGAGTAAGCATCAAGCTCGAGTTCGAGTTCCAATAATACTACTCACTCGAGTTCAAGGATGTCGAGTCAAGCTCGAGTATGGCGATACTCGAGTTCGACTCGACTCGATTACATTCCTTAACCTATGCTTTGCAATAGTCCCTAATGAGTGAAAAGTTGTTTTCAAAATTTTTGGCTTTAAGACAACAATTGATAGACATTCAACAATAACAACGGCCAAAATCAACTATGTGTAGCTATAATTTCCAAAAAAGAATGTAGGGAAAGGAGTGCAAGACTGAATTGGGATAGAGTGGAGCTATAATTACTTCTGTAGGCCTTATGATTAGGAGTAAACATCAAAACTCATTCTTCAATCTTGGTTTTTCGTATTGCCCGACGAGAATATGATAGGGTGCAGCTAATTTTGTGGTTGAAAATGTCTAACTTTATGTTTCGATTGAAAACTTTTCTAGTTTCCACATTTTTTTAAATTTGTGAAGAAATTTTTTCCTCAACCAACTACCTTTTTTTTTTTTCCAAAACGATAGAAATTTTCTCATAATAAGGAATTAAAATTACATTGTATGAGCAAGGGCTCAAATTTGATTTTACAATAGTGGACTAGGCCACTGATGAGCTTCAGGTTCCTCATCAAAGAAGAAGTATGGCTAATCTACTCAGTTTAGCACTGAGTCTATCCCTATCACCAGGTAAGCTATCAAATGAGCATTTCCTAAACATTGAGCAAAGATCTTTTATATCCTCCAGGTAAGTTGCTAGCTTTAAGTTACTAAAAGCTTGATACCGTATGATATTTAGAACCTGAATGCATGATGTTCGGATCTTGATATGCTGCCATCCTTTCTCCTTTAGCTTATAAAGTGCCAGTTTGATGGCCAAAAGATTGTCCTGCACTGCTGATCCAGTGCTTCTCTCATTCAGTATTCAAGCTTCGCATTTTTTGTTCCAATTGTTTTGTGTTGCAACTCCAATTCCCATATTTTGGCCTTCCACATGTTGACCCACTTCCACGCTAATGTTCAGCAAGTAATCATCCTCCCCCATCCGTTCCTCCTCATCTTGTACAGTTTCTGTTTCGGACATGCTCAGCTGATGTTGTATTTGTTGTGATTGGTGATACTCCTCTTAGTCCTTAATTGCTTTCCTAATGACTTCCATTGGATGTGTATCCTTGCCGTCAAATTCAGCTACATTCCTGGCTTTCCAGATCTGGCAAAGGATGTCCACTGTTAAGTTTATGTGCTCCCTCCCCTCCTTTCGTGTCTGCACTTCCATTAACATGGTCCACCATCGCCTGAAATCAACGGTGTGCTCCTTAAGTCCATCCCATTGGAGGAGCGCCATCCGCCATATCATTTGTGCTTGTTTACAATGAAAGAAGATGTGTTCCACTGTTTCACTATTTTCCCCACATATCTTGCAGATTATATCCCCTTTGCCTGTTCGTTTATGAAGTGCTTTCTTACATGGCAAGGCTTGGTGCAGGATTTTCCATACAAGCAGCTTTTGTTTGTGCTTTATCTTCATCTTCCAGAGCTATTTCCAGACTTTCCTACTCTCTCCCTCCCAACTTGTCTCTCCCTTGACTTTGCCATTTAGTTCCAACAGTTTTTTCTCTCTTGTTATTGCTTCATATGCTGACTTAACTGTGTACTGTCCATTCACACTACGGCTCCAAAAATAGCAATCCGGTCTACCAGTCAGGCTTATAGGGATTTTGAGAATCTGTCCCACTTCTTGTGCATTAAAAGTCTTGAAAATAAGTGGTGAGTTCCATCTAAAGTTGGAAATCAGCTCACTTACTTTGCTAATCATACAATCTGGGGGCTTTAAGGACTCTACTTTATCGTCTTTGCCATCCTGGATCCAGGCATCTTCCCAAATTTTGGTACCGTTGCCATTACCTATTGTCTTCCTTGCACCTCTCCTTACCTCCTCTCTTGCTCCCATCATGCTTTTCCATATCCAGGAGGAGTTGCCTTTGACTTCGCAGCTTAGAGATGATCCATGTGGATAGTACTTGGCTTTCATCACCTTGCTCATGAGCAGGTTTGGACAGGTGAGAAGCCTCTAGATTTGTTTACCCAACAGAGCTTTATTAAAGCCTGGTAAGTCTTTAAATCCTAAGCCACCATTGTGCTTTCCCTTTGCCATCTTTTTCCATGAACACCAATGTATTTTCCTTTTGCCATTCTCCTCCCCCCACCAGAACCTTGCCATAATAGCAAGAATGTCTTTACATAGTTTGACTGGAAGCTTGAAACATGACATTGCATAGGTTGGCATTGCCATGGTTATAGCCTTCAGTAAAACCTCTTTTCTTGCTTGGGAGAGTTGCTTGTTACACCAATTAGAGACCGTTTTCTGACATCTATCTCTTATAAAACCAAAAATCTGGTCCTTAGTTCTGGTGATGACCATAGGCAGCCCCAAATACTTCCCTTGATGTACCACCTGTATATGTCCTAGTCTGCTACAGATTTCCTTTTGTACGTCCGGGTCCACATTCTTGCTAAAAAAGACTGATGATTTTTCCATATTTATCAATTGTCCTGAGCCTTGTTCATACAGTTCCAATATCTTCATCACTTTTTCAGCTTGATCCTTGTCGGCTTTGCAAAAAATCAGAGAGTCGTCTGCAAAGAAAAGGTGACTGATTGGTGGCCCAGTTCTACTTATCTTCAATCCTGATAGCTTGTGATTGCTCTCTACTTGAGTCAACAAATTGGAGAAACCTTCTGATACTAATAAGAAAAGGTAAGGTGATAGAGGATCACCTTGCCTAATTCCCCTTGAAGGTGTTAAATATCCTTTTGACTTCCCATTTATATTGAAAGAGAAGGTAGCTGTTGTGATGCATTCTATTAACCAGTTGATCCAAATCTCATTGAATCCCATTTTGGTCATCACGGCCTTCAAATAGCTCCACTCCTCCTTGTCGTAGGCCAACTTTAAAGCCATAAAGCCTTGAGATCCCTGCCTTTTGTTTTTAAGGTAATGCAAGTACTCATGAGAGACAATAATGTTGTCCAAAATTTGTCTTCCAGGCATAAAAGCTGCCTGGTTTTTGCTGATACATTTGTCTAAGACTTTTTCAA